TCTCAAGAATTCTCAGCGTTATTCGTTACATTCCTTTGTTTTTTGTTATTTTTTCTTTTTATTTTGGTACATCATAAAACCAGTTTATGAACCAGTAACAAACTTTTGCCAAACAATTTTGGTATGCTTTTGAACAATTCCTGTGATGGGAAAATCGTTTAATGTTTTGTCAATACTAGCAATTGCTAGTATTGACAAAACATTAAACGATTTTTGTTCATAATTATACAATTAAAAATGATATGCACCGCTAACAACTAATAATTAAGCGAATATCTTTTTTTTTTATTGTTCTTCGACTTCACTTGTCTCATTTATATCCGAAAATGCCATTTCATCTTAAGAACTATTTGAATATTAAGGGCTCTTCTTAAAACTAAGGAAAATATCAAAATATTCATTGTTTTTATTTTATATTTCTATCTTCTCTCGGAATGTCACAGTTATTCCCAATTAGCCTCCGGTTTTATATTGGTTCTTTGTACAGCTCTTTAGAATATTTTTTCGAGTAGCATATGATGAAATACCTTTTTAATTCTCAAAAAAACTTACATAACACAAGATTTCCTGTTCACTTGCTCACCGCTCACTGGTGGGCGATAATTCCCAGGTTGGGGAATCCGGAATTTTAAATTAAATTTTCGATGTCGTAAATATGAATAAAAGAAGATATCAGAATTTGCTAGCGGTAAATTTACGCCAAGTGGTTTGTTTATTCGTTTTCAAGAGCATTTTTCAATTTCCTAATTCCTGTTGCACTTCCCGAATAAAAAACAACAGTAAAAACATACATTGCTAAATATGAAACAATTTTGGACACCTCGACCAAAATAAAATCATTCTAAATTATAAGAACTTATTTTAACTCACAAGGTCGAGTCATTTGTTGTATTGAGGGATGATCGTAGCCCTTCTTGATAGTGTCCTTTTTGTTATCGAAAAATCCAGATAGGGATTCCTCTTTCTCTTTATAAGTTACATAGACTAATCAATGTGATTCCTCATTATATAACTACTGGTTGGTTCTACAGTGTAACCCGGATATAAGAGAGTTGTCGGGACTGGAGAAGAAGTCTCTTATATCCAGGTTTGGTTTATTTTGTTTAGGCAAATATGGGACCAGAGAAAATCTCTTATATCCGGGTTACACTGTATGTTATATTCACAAATATTCTTTTTTTTTTTCTTGCTCACCGCTTCTTTATTTGTTCTGTGGTTTTCTGCTTTAGGGGTTTCTCCTCTACAGGAAAATTGTTTATAATTGTTAAATTATTCCACTACAAAGAATTAAAAGGCCCAAGCTGCAGCTTGTGAGGCAATATATTACAACAACCTGAAGACTAATTAAATGTAAGGTTGCAATTTTCCTTCTTTATAGCACTGGTGACATGTCTTGTAAGTAATTTGTTTTATCGTTTTGTTTTTTCATTGTTAATTTTAATATCGCCACAAAATATAATCTGTTTACCTTTTGATGCAATGGAATAACCTGTCACTCCCATGAGTGACTACACTATAGGTAGCAACTAAATACAAGTATCTGTAAGTCAACGGACTATAGAGGCTAGCTGTGATCTGTTCCATCTGTGCTGGTCAAACTATCTGCCTGGAGGCAGAGAGGATCCCCAGACGAGGTTATGTCGAAGGGCAGAGTCTTGGTTTCGGAAAACAGCTACCCGACCCCGTTTTATACGGAGAAATTTTGGCTGAGCCTACGGGCTAGGATACCCCATTTTAAATTCGGCCATGTACTACATCTGATCGTGTAGGAGCGGTTAGTAAATATACTAGCTGGGACCTGTTGAGTACGACTAAGATTTACCCGAGAACTACCGACCTTTCAATAGCGATTTTCCAAGCGTAGCTTGGATGTGGCACAAGGCCGAAAGTATGGGGCACCCAGTGAGAATCGAACTCGCTATTCAGTCGTAATTGTTCTAGCGAGACAAGCTTGCTAACCATTACACCACCTCAAGGTGCCCAGCCGACCTTTCCATAATAACACTCACTACTGGATTGACTTGCGACGACCTTGCGCATAATTTTACCTTTATTCTTATTGTACTTGTTTTTCAAGAATATATTCCTATTAGCACGGGATATAACACCTTTATATGGCAAAATGATAATTAAGTAACTGATAGTGTAGATAAGGGACTACAGGGGTTAGATGTAAAAATTAAAACTTGTTTTGAGTAGAACCTCGTTCAGAAATAAGATCTGTCCAAAAAGGATTCAGTCATTTCAGGAAAGCGCCTTAGTAGAACAATGACAGTAAAGTCTTGTTCAACTTCAATTAAACCATTTATGGGCAACCTTTTTCGAGCAGTAGGTCACATGATCTATGACTCATCACGAGGCGGGTCACCTCTTTAAACAGATACAAGAATTTTTCGTAGTAGATACCTCAGCTATTTTCACTGGAGAAAACAGTTTGCGTCAACATATCAGTTTTATTCTTTAGAAAATATTTTTTTAATAATAAAACTATTGAAGTCTTGGCATACTATTATCACTGAAGACAGCGTGATTGACACATGTTGCTGCCTGGGAATTATTTTTAATTTATTCATTTGAAAATGGAAACATTTCATCTTTAAAGAAAAAAAAATTCTTATGAACATTTGTTTCAAAACCAAAAGAGGTTTACACGTAAGATCTTTCGTAGTGAAAAAAAGGTTACTTTCCCTAAAACGTTTATAAAATTCAAGAAACATTGTACTTATTGTTAATGTATGTGGTTATGGATGAGAGAGTGAGTAAACAAGTGAGAAGGAAACAAAATAAAATTTTAAAAAAAGGTTATAAGCGTACCATTTAGAGGGGAGCAAAAGGGCCGCAGTTTGACCAAGACAGCACTAAAAACTTTATTTAACCGTTCATTTGACTTATCACAACATTCTGCAAATTTCGCTTTCGGGATAAGAAGCAGGTGTTTCATCCAGTTCTTTTTAATTCCAATCATAGTTTAAAATCTTTCCCTTTTGAGGTGGGCATTCTGGTTTAACTCCTAGAGAGCAAAATATGATCGATATCTTTTGCCATTGGGAGACAAATATGAGTTTGTTTTACCAAAAAGATTCCCTACAAAGAATGTGAACAGCCGCCATCAGTTGCGATATTTAGAATGGGTCGACACATTCAAACTATTGCATCACACGAGCATTCAACAAATATATTTTGAATTTCACCAAAAACGTATACTGCTTCCAACAAATACTTGGCCAATGGCGTCTCGCGACCATCTGAGTAAAACCAATCAGAGATATCGTTACAGCACGTGAGCAAGGATCTCTGATTGGTTGCTGCGTGACATCGAAGCTCAAACCAATGTCATTCGTTTGGGTTAAGCAAGATATTCAAAACGGATGATGGTTTTCTGGACAGACATTTCATATCAGTAGCGGGAAAAGAGATAATGTGGGTAATGGCCATCAACGCGGAAAGTGCAATCCTTGAGCAGAGTTCAAATTCCCATCCTATCTTTCTCACTCACTTTCGCATTAGCCAGATATAGTTAAATAGCAGGGTAGACTGGGATAGCCTTTTGTATGAAACAGTCTAGAAGGACAACACCGAATTCAAAACCATGTAGAAAGTTACGAGAAGCCTTTATATTTCTCAAGAAATCATAGAAGTTCGCAGATAAAGAACTTGGTAGCTATTATCGCATACATCGGAAATGATAATGGTAATATTATAAGTTTTCCTATAAGGAAACATTTGGCACCTTTTGACCGAAAATCCAGTGTGGCTGTCGGTTGAAATTTATAAACATTTTGTCTTAAAAGATGTTTTAGAAAAATGTTTCTGAAGTGCAGTAGCTGTTAACGATCTTTCTAGTATTAATGAGAGATTTCATTACTAACATCTTGTTTGAAGTAATGTGTAACGTCACAATCTTCATTATGTCATTTTCTCTTCATGTTTCATGCAATAAAGATTGTAGCTGTTTCTGCTGTTAAATGTCCTAAAGTAGTGTGGTTTCTCTTATTGGATGTAGTTCTTTGTGATTCTGTCAGTCCAATGTCGGAAGAAGGATGGTCTCCGACAAAATACACAGACTTCTCTAGCTCAAAACCATTTTTAAACATGGGTTCTTAAATGCGGTTGTATACAGCTGACAGTTGAAATATTTCTTAAACGGGTTTTGGTGCTATGCATAATATCCATATGAATGTATCAATATGACGAGATTAATTGAGAAAATCTCTGGTTAATGATTTGGTTTTGTAGCAGTTTGCGTTGTTGTATTAAACTACTTATAGCCAAGCTTATTCTGTGTTCAAATTTTTTATCACATATACAAAAGGCAGATGGGATTACAAAGAACGTTTAGATTCAGAAAAGAAAAATAAATAATTATAAATATTCCTTTTTTTGACAGATTTCATGTATCCAGATTTCTGCAGTTTGCATGGTGCCTTTTGCGTTATTCGCAAATGAATATATGCATAAAAAATTAATAACTTGTAGCAAATTATTGTTTCAGCGTAACAAAAGACCCACTCATTGTGTGTCTATGTACATACGTAAAATTAAATTATAAAAGCAGAAGATAATTTGACTGGAAAAAAAGAAATCCACCGTGAACAGGAAGTTAGAACGAATATCCGGTGACCTGCGAAAATAAAATATTCCTTAATATGGTTGAATTGAATTTTCATTCATATAATTAAAACATCCTAATACTGAAATATCAGCCTTCGATTTGGAATTGTGAAATTCTTGTGCATAGGTACGTAATTCAGCTACGCTAGTTGGCCACTTTGTTTTTAGACACATTCAAAAAATTGTGTCAATGTTTTTGTCTATTCTTACATTTTCGTGGTTCCTTCCGACGTATTACTTCTTCTCTTAATCACCTTTTATTTTCAGTAGACATTACCTTTTACTTTCATAGTAACAATTACTGATGTCGCTATAAACATTGCAATACTTGTAAATGTTCTCAAAAGCAATTGCAAGAATATTAATTCGAAAACAGCGTAGAATAGCGGTTACCGAGGAAAAAAAAAAAAAAAACGAGAAATAGGGGAAAAAAAGAACGAGAAATAGGGGAAAAAAAGAACGAGAAATAGGGGAAAAAAAGAACGAGAAATGGGGGAAAAAAAGAACGAGAAATGGGAAAAAAGAACGAGAAATGGGGAAAAGAACGAGAAATGGGGGAAAAGTACGAGAAATAGAGGGGAAAAGTACGAGAAATAGAGGGGAAAAAAGTACGAGAAATAGAGGGGGAAAAAGTACGAGAAATAGAGGGGGGAAGTACGAGAAATCGGGGGAAATGTACGAGAAATAGGGGGGAGACGAAAATCGGGGGGAGTACGAGAAATAAAGAGAACGAGGAATAGGGGAAAAATTGGCAAAAGAACGAGAAAGAGGAAAAAGATAGAGATGAAGGGAAAAAGAGAGAATATGAGGAAAAGAAAGATAAAGAGGAAAAGAGGAAGAGGAAAAAGGAAGGAAGAATGGTAGAAGAAGAACGGAAGAGACAAGTGAAGAAGAACGGAAGAGACAAGTGAAGAAGAACGGGAGAAGAATGAACAAATTGTCGGGTTAAGACAAACTGACCAAATAGCAATTAAATCTAAGTTGATAGAGAGACATCATGAAACTAAGTGTGAGTTGCTCTTAATATTGAACCAAAACCATGCCACAAGTAAATACAACGAGGAATCCAGGCAAAAATTTTCTCGATCCTAACAAGATATTTTGACGTTTGGTCATCTGGTCAGATTAAATCTGAAAATTTCCGAGACACTCACGTACCTTACTTTATATATAGAATTAATGAAGGAGAGAAATGAAACAACAAGTGAAGAGTAAAAAACAAAAAAAAAAAAAAAAAAAACAATGCATGGACATAAAGGTTCGTCTTTGCCCGATTTTCCATCTTATACGAAGAGGGGGCAACTAATTATGAAATGTATTTAACTGAGTGTTTGATGGCTTTGACATCACGTCAATGAAAACGTGAGTTTGCTTTCAGCCCGGCAGATGAATTCAAGTTCACGTTTCCGAATTAAGAGATTCTAATTATATTAATAAAATGAAAAAAAAAAAAGTGACATGATGATTTATTTCTGCAAACAACAATAATGAATAATTTTTAATTGTGTGAGTAATAATTTATCATTATAGTTTTGGTTAATAAACTATCAATTAGGATGGCGTTGTTACTACTTTTACAAGAGCTAAAAAAGGTGGGAGATTTCCTGCGTGTGTTCACCTAAAAGGAATAACCAAACTCTTTGCCTACTATCTGTATATTTTCTACCTGTATATTTTCTCGTACACGTGTATGATTACAATATTTTAACTTGAAATAAATTCAGTTGAATTATTTACCCACATCATCCGATGTAGCGGGATTGGCAGAAATACATACCATATTAGGCAAAGACGTTATCTTCGAGACACCATTGCCACTAATCCTTTTTTCTAAATGAAGATAATTGTTATATTTTTCTCTGTGCCGTATTTATTCAGGGCATTGGCGATCATGACTCTCCACAATTTCTTGCCCCTTGTAACTCTTAATAAATTTCGTCATTTTGTTATCTCACCTGAACCCTGTTCTGCCATCCATTTACGTTCCTTCTGCTTTCGATAAGTCCGGTGACTATCAGATTTTCCAAGCCCTCTCTATTTACCAACCTCCCCACAAGGCAAGATGTGGCACAAGGCCAGTTTTAAAAATCAAGCGTTCCGAGTCAGTATACTCGGACAAAAATTGAAGACCTCGTATACACGGGGTTGGGTTTGTCTACCTCCCCAAAAGAGAAACTGCTCTTCGGCATAGCCCCGTCTGGGTTCCTCTCCACCCGGAGGCAGAGGGTTCAACAAGAGGGGAAGAGGAAGAGAAGACCTCCGCCTATATTCCAAGCCCTGTTTCCCCATTAGGCGCCCTTTCAACTGGCTCTTCGACTTTCTATAAAATTTTGTTTTTGCTCAAATATTTTTCCGTAGTATTCTCAGTATCCTTCTTTTCTAGTATTTAAAGTTTCTTCATCTGTGAAGAGATGTAGTTTCATTTATAATTCTATCAAAACTGAGTCATCTACGTATCTTATATAGTTAAGATTTGGGCCACCAATAATGAATCATGGTAAGACATTTTCTCTAATAATAACCTCACTGTATAGTTTGAATAAGTGCAGTGTGATTACACATCCTTTTTATTTTTGTTTATGTTGTAAAAAGTCGTTCTTTTTTTTTTTTTTTTTTACAGTAGCCGAGAATTAAGAAGGCCGTACATATAGAGAATATTGAAGGAACAGAAGACTAGGTAGGGAAAACAAAGATGTTTCTTAAATACTCATACATAGAGCGAAAAACGTGAGTAAATCGTCCACTCTTCAAATCCTAATCTAATGTGGTTACTTGCCATATTTATCAACAGGAGCATTCCATTATAACGTTTTTTTTTGTTTCGTTTTTTTGTTTCGCTTTATTTATTTGTTTTGTTTTTTGTTATAACAGTAGTAGGGAAGAGCAGGAAGTACGCTGTCCTACTCTACAACAGTATATTTACTGAATTCATTTTCAATCGGTAATCAGCTGTTTCGTGCTAGTATACGTTCTGGTTTATTCTAACATCCTTCTCAAATACGCTAAGGTAATCTAGAAGTTCATACTGTTTCTTTGAAACACTCGTTATAAAGCTTGTCCAAAAAACAACTCCCCACCAAAAAACAAAAACCACCAAAAAACAAAAACCAACAAAAACCAAAAAAAAAAAAAAAAACCAACAAAAACAAAAACCAACAAAAACAAAAACCAAAAAAAACAAAAACAAAAAAAAACAAAAACAAAAACAAATAAAGCGAAACAAAAAAATAAAACGAAACAAAATAAAAAAAAAACGAAAACAAAAAAAAAACAAAAAAAAACGAAACAAAATAAAAAAAAACGAAACAAAATAAAAAAACGAAACAAAATAAAAAAACGAAACAAAATAAAAAAACAAAAAACTAATATTTAAGGAAAATAACTTTTTCATATATATTTTCGGGGCGGTTTTATTGCTTAGTTATTTAAATGAAACCATTTCTTTTCTGAAACGGAAACGTTTCAGCAATTAAATCACAGCTTAAGAGTAAAGTGAAATAAGCAGTGTTGATAATAGTAGATTGAAAAACACTCTAAAATAAATTCTATGTTATAATATTGATGAAGCAGCTTTAATTACAATTATTTCGCTAAGACAATTTTCCGGTAAACTCTAAAAGAAACAACTGCAATTTACAATGAAGCAAAGGGAAATGAACTTTACACCAGCGCCTATAATAGTTATCATTTTTTAAAGTTCACTCAATACAAAGCTCCTCTGGAAATAGGCAGTTAAATAGAAGAATGTGATACGTGATATAAATGAAATAGGGGTGGTAGGAATTTTAGATTATTAAAGAGAATAAGTAACAAAGTTTTGAAATCAAGAGAATCACACTGAACTGTTTAGTTACATATTCACGCGAGGTTCTTGTTGAAAAGTAACAGTTCTTGAAGTAAAGATGTGTCTGAGTGAAACATTATCCTGACATATCTAATACGGAGGAAATGTGTGATTATTTCTGGGGTTTTTTTTTTGTGTATGCAATATCTTTCGATCGTAAGAATTTTGGGGAGATAATGATTTTACTCATACCTCTACGATAGATTATAACGAACCCAACTGAAATTGGAACTCAGCTCGTCTAACTCCAATTCCAAGACGGTATCCATCCGTAAATCCAAGGTTACAACAGCTGGTATTCCCAAGCCGTCACTCATCTAGATACTGACTAGGTTCGACGTTGATTAAATTCAGTGATCGTACAAGAACCGTTTTTTCACCCTGATACTACCGTAAGCTTCGGAGGAAATGAGGAGGTATATATATATATATATATATATATATATATCTTTTCTGCATTAAGTAGCAGGGTAGGCTGGGCTCTCACAAATTGCATTGTGAAAATCATGAGACAAAGCAGCGGGGAACCACTCCACTATCTTTCCCAAGAAAACATGGTAATTATGTATTGAAACAAGATCTGTGGAGAGCTATGCTCGTTTACGCTCTGAAGGGATATTATGTGTTTGTGTATATATATATATATATATATATATATATATATATATATATATATATAGGTATATATATATATATATATATATATATATATATATATATATATCTATATATATATATATATATATATATATATATATATATATATATATACATAACGTCTATACATACACATATATATATATATATATATATATATACACACACAGATAGATATAGATGTCTGTATATATATATATATATATATATGTGTGTGTGTGTGTGTGTATATATGTATGTATGTATGTATATATTGCACTTTTTAAAGTGCTTATTCTCTCTCGCAGACACAAACATACGGTGCAGTGTAATCTTTTAATTAGATCATTGATGAAAGAAAACAAATGATATTAAAAATTTTAATGGAAAAGTAAAGATTGTATCAAACATAAAAAAAGAAAAAGTGGTATTCGCACAAGCTCTGCTACGATTGAAATCTTAATACTGAATATTCCTGAACTCTGTTTCCTTGATAATGATAAGCATAATGCGTTTCGAGTGTCCTCGAAAATTTTCATTTCCTATGTAACAGGCCCGTCCACATGTCGTTACTAGATTTGATTAGAAAATTAATACGTATACCATTTGAAGTATGCTGCATCTATATGGAAACGGAGAATAAAATTACATCTTCAATAAGTTTTAAAAGGTTAACTATAAACATTATACAGGTAAAAATGCAGTAATTGATTATATATATTAATCCTTCCAAGTTCATAAATATGAAACATGGGGGGGGGGAACTATTGTAGGTTTTCAGGTGTTCGGTTAAAAAAGATTGGGAAGAAGGGTAATCAAGTGACAACAAGGCGCATTTTATACTGACATGATACCCAGTGAGATATAAAATGAAAATTGTATTTATATAAATTTTACTAATTTTATTTGGTGGTATGTGCGCCCGGAAAGTGCGGTAATATTTCGAAATTAAGGCTCAATTTTTGTTGTGGGGAAAAAGATGAAGTTTACAATCGATATCATCTAATAACATGAGTTATTACAAGAAAAATGCCAGTGTATAAAAAACGATGTGAATTACAAAGAAGAAGGTAAAAATAAAAGGGTTTCAGCGAGGTCGAACTCAGTTAAAGGGGTTTTTTATCTTAAAGGTATAAAAATGTGAAAGTTCTTAAGAGTTCTTGTGATTTCATGCGAGTTCGAGTCAGAACCCGTTCATATCTTCGGAATCTTCAACACAGAGCGTTGTGGAAATAACTATTTTGTTACAATAGTCGGGGTGAAAGTAAGACTCAATTCTATCGTGAAAACAACAATTTGCTTAAGATTTCATTGAGGAGTTGTACCCCAGATACCTCTTTGAATCCAGGTTCGGTCAGCGTTTCTGATGTTTTTCGAAGGCGTTCTGTCTACTACTGCTGGCGGCCGAATCTATTACTACTGTTGATATACGTATTGCAGGGATTTTCATAGCTATTTGTCGATTCCAATTTAGCCAAATAAATTGGTGATCAATACAAGCACTTCAGATTTCAACCAGATACAGTAGCAATTGAAGAAAACCGACAAAAAAAGAGAGAGAGAAAAAAAAAACACCGACAAAAAAAAGAAAAAAAAAACACCGACAAAAAAAGAGAGAGAGAAAAAAAAACACCGACAAAAAAAGAGAAAAAAAAAAACACCAAAAAAAGAGAGAAAAAAAAAACTGACAAAAAGAGAGAGAGAAAAAAAACACCGACAAAAAAAGAGAGAGAGAAAAAAAAAACACCGACAAAAAAAGAGAGAGAGAAAAAAAAAACACCGACAAAAAAAGAGAGAAAAAAAAAAAACACCGACAAAAAAAAAGAGAGAGAAAAAAAAAAACACCGACAAAAAAGAGAGAGAAAAAGAAAAAAAACAGAAAAAAGAAAAAAAACAGAAAAAAGAAAAAAAACAGAAAAAAGAAAAAAACAGAAACAACAAAACAAGAGAAAAAAAATACAAGAAAAAACAAAGTCTGTCTATATTTCTGAGATGAGGTATTATGTACAGTATTTACATTAGTCGGACTATTGTCCTCATCTTTCCACTGTGCCATGTGTCCTCAAGGACACATGGCACAGTGGATAAAGGCGTTGGTTAGATCCAGTGACAGACCCAAAGAAGGTGAGTTCAATTCCTGGTTAAGTCAGTGGAGAACTTTCAGAAGGAAAATTAGCAGGAGATAACTGACATCCATCAAACATGGCACGTGGAACTAGAACAGTCTACCCAAGGGATCGAAATAAAGGGTTCAGTTCGAAATTCCAACTACCTGAAGAAGGCCGGAGCGTACAATGGCCGAAACGTTGTGACAAATATGGCGACAAACATGAGGACAATAGTCCGACTAAAGAAAAAAAGAAAGAAAAAAAAAGTAGAAGAAGGAAGAAAAAGAAAAAAGTAGAAGAAGGAAGAAAAAGAAAAAAGTAGAAGAAGGAAGAAAAAGAAAAAAGTAGAAGAAGGAAGAAAAAGAAAAAAGTAGAAGAAGGAAGAAAAGAAAAAGAAGAAGGAAGAAAAAAAAAAAAAAGAAGAAGGAAGAAAAGAAAAAAGTAGAAGAAGGAAGAAAAAAAAAGTAGAAGAAGGAAGAAAAGAAAAAAAAGTAGAAGAAGGAAGAAAAAAAAAAGAAGAAGGAAGAAAAAAAGTAGAAGAAGGAAGAAAAAAAAAAAAAGTGGAAGAAAAAGAAAAAGTGGAAGAAAAGGAAAAAAAAAGAAAAGAAAAAAAGAAAGAAAAGAAAAAGAAAAAGAAGAAAGAAAGAAGAAGAAGAAGAAGAAGAAAAAGAAGAAAGAAAGAAGAAGAAAAAGAAGAAAAAAAAGAAGAAGAGAAAAAAAAGAAGAAGAGAAAAAAAAGAAGAAGAGAAAAAAAAAAAAAAGAAGAGGAAAGAAGAAGAAGAGGAAAGAAGAAGAGAAAAAGAAGAAGAGGAAAAAAAAAAAAAAAAAAAAAAAAAAAACACAAGAGGTAAAACCCAAGATAGGTTAATGCCAACTTTTCAATCTCCAGGTTCCCCGGATTTGGCAGAAAAATCGATAAAACTGAAGGTGGGTACGACTTTCTGCAAAAAAACAAGACAAAAGTAGACGCGAACAAAATTTTTACATACTGAATGATGTTCTTTGCATATAATGCAAAACATAGATCATGCTACGAGTTTTATGTAGATGCTTGATAGTTTTCTTGCAACATTTGCTTCACACAAAAAATGCCAAAAACTGAAAAAAAAAAAAAAAAAAAAGTCGGGTTTTTCGCACAACATAAAATGAAAACTTTAATAGCTTCTTTATTTTTTGTCCAAATTTTTCAGACATGTCGCAAAAATTTGCTATCATGCAGAAAATAAGATATTTTGTTTTAGTCCTGCTCGACCTCCCCCCCCCGCGTCTAACAAAAAACCTCGAAAAACGGCTCAAAATCCACCTTTTCCCACGATGCTTTCCAATATAGTAAACGTGCGAAAAAGGAGTTGGAGACGTTCATGCATTTGCACGTGCAGTTTAATCAAGCTCTGACGCCATATCCTTGTTTTTGTTTGATTAGTAGATTGTGAAGAATGTTAAACTATTTGAAATTCATTACGGCCATAGAAGATTTACTGATATCTGAAACAATTTCATCCCGAGCAACGACCACACAAGAAGTTTTTATTGATAGAGTTCCTTTGATAAGAACAATCCAAAACTTGCGAAGGACATACTGTAAATATGATGAAGTGGAGGGAGTGGCTTAGTATACCAACGGATGATGAATTCAAACGGGACGCAGAAAGACAATTTTAGACAGGGGGTGCGGTTATACAATTGCAGGCAGGTACAATTATGCAACGCCGAGTTCCTCGGCTTATATATATATATATATATATATATATATATATATATATATGTGTGTGTGTAAGCTGAGCTAAAAACATTTCGAAAATCATTGTTTTACCCGTCCACCTTACTCGACGAAAGAAACTTTAAAATTCCTATGTCAGGTCTGTTGAATATACCGAATAGCATGGACATTTAATTGTTCTTAGTAATTTAGTATGGTCTACAAAATAACGTTTTACTACCCTCGTGCTTATATATATATATATATATATATATATATATATATATATATATATATATATATATATATAAGAGAGGGAAAGAATAGAGTTTCTTCATATTGAACAAAAGCATTTATATTGCAAGACAAACATTATTTCTTCGTCTATTTCCTTGTCAACAACAACATTTCTCCGTTAATCAGAAACATTAAAGATTAAGTAATAAAAATTTCTCTTACTAGATGCTAGGCCAAACAAACAAACAACAACAACAAAAAGAGTTGCACTATATTGGATATCTCAGATCCATCAGATCATAACGTGGAGCCTAAAGAAAATAACGTGCTTTAAAACATATCAGAATTTTGCCTAAAGAACGGTGGGGAGGGGGGAGAAAAATATATGGGATATAATTGTGACCATTATAGTCAATACCACTGGAGGTCCTTTAAGAGTAACAGAAAAAGAGAAACCCGAAGAAAAAGGAGAAAGTGGACAAAAAGGACAAAACGAAGAATGAGAAAAAGGAAAAAACGAAGAATGAGAAAAAAGAAGAAACAGAAAAAGAAAAAGAAACAGAAACAGAAAAAAAAAACGAAAAATGAGAAAAAAGAAAAAAAAGAATGAAAAAGAAGAAGAAAAAAATGAGAAAAAGAAGAAAAAAAATGAAAAAGAACAGAAAAAGAATGAGAAAAAGAAACAGAAGAAGAAAAAGAAACAGAAGAAGAAAAAGAAACAGAAGAAGAAAAAGAAATAGAAGAAGAAATGGGGCTTACAAGAGAATAATTATGTACAAAACGAATTCCTGAGAGTAAGACTGAATTGAAGAGATTTTTTTTTTTACTTAAAACAGATTTGTTATTTACGGAGCATTAAGATACGATTAAGTTTTTATAGGTACTCGACTCGACTTAGAAATGATATAAAATGTATTCTTTTGACAGATATTGACAAGTTTTTTTTAATCCTATTCTGCTAATCAAATATTGGGTTGTATATAATTAGAACCCATTTAAAAAAAATATGGAGACCAACCAAATTCCGTCCTGAACATACTTGTGGAAAATATGATAAAAATAGTCTCGTCCACATGTAAAATAAGCATCTAGAAATAATGGAAATAATGTAAGGACGACATAATATCAACTATGAATACGAAAAGTACAGTGTTTGAAAAAAAAAAAAAAAAAAAAAAAAAAAAAGTGTTTGAAAAAAAAAAAAAAAAAAAAAAAAAAAGAAAAAAAAAGAAAAAAAAAAAAAAAAAAAAAAAAAAAAAAAAAAAAAAAAAAAAAAAAAAAAAAAAAAAAAAAAAAAAAAAAAAAAAAAAAAAAAAAAAAAAAAAAAAAAAAAAGAAAACTTCCTATCACTATAGATGCACATAAAAATATACATATTCAGTTAACAATAAGAAAAAATAACATCGTGATAGAAATGCTCAAAGCGATCACACATCGAACATTTGGACAGATTTTACACATTGTTCAGAAAATAAAATACTTTTACGAATGTAAGTGCAATTGAATTAATAGCTTAGTTGAAGTACCCTGTCAGTCGTCTTACATGAAATGTATATAATATATAATTACGCTGTGTTTGTGAGTGAACATCAATATTGCATAAAATTCTTATAAATATGCATGGTGTGATATTTGGTAACAGTGATTTATATGTAACCCATCATAGCGATTCCAGCTTTATGGCCATAATTTGTGTATTCATCTTTTAAAAACCCATTTTTAAAAATGACTGCATTCAGTTATTTATTTTCCGATAGTATGGATTATTGACTAACTTTTTTTAATAAATATGCAACTATTTTGTTGGCAAAGTGATTAATGATGCCACTAAAGACGTTTCTCTGCCCCAAAGTAATAACTGCCTACACAATTAAAGCCTCGTCGTAAAGGGAAGTAAACTATTTATGAAGGAAAGCAGGTGGTGTTGGCATTTTTAATAGTATATTCTGAAAATGGAACAAAAATTAAATTATTCTTTGGGAAGATTCCGTATATGAAAGGAACGACGAGAACTTAATACAAGTTTACGCATTTTTCGTCCTGGGTATGACGATAGACTATATCCAGCAGCAAGGCTTCTGATCGAGATGTTTTGAGGAGTGTGGAATCATTTCTTAATTGCTGTTGTTCTTCTCTCTAAATCGTTGCCGTTACTCACTTGACAGTCCAAGCTATTCTCGATACCTTTCTGTAGAAACCTATTTCTATTGTTTTTAGGATCTTCCTCAGAGATGTGCCTGTTCAGAATTCACTGCTATATAGTAGGACTGATATTACATAATGGTTGAATATTATCTTTGTTTCTCATTATTTTTTTGTGTTTCTACTATACTTTTTGGAAGATATTTTCCTGGATGCTAATGAGACCTCGGATTGCACTCTCAAATTCCCCTTTCCTTTGTTAAAATATTTACAGCATATTTAATTTTTTGTACTAGTTTAATTCCGGTATCTCCAATTTATAACACGAATTTTGAGTTGTTACTTTGGTTGTCAGATATACATTCTGTCGTCTTGAAATTGATAAATATACCTTAAAATAAAATAATACCATGACATGAGTCATTAATCGCAAACATTTTTTAGATTGTGGTGCATTGTCTAGTGAGAAATCTTCAAGATTCTTCAGTAATTTTGTTTCACGTCGGAATCTTATGCTTAACTTCTTCGTAGTAAAAAGTCGAATATTCTTTTATCTACTTCACAATGCCTAACAGAACGGGAGGAATATCTTTTTACTATGAATCTTCCCAACACACCCTTGAAAGTATGAAGACCACTAACCCTGTTCATAAATTCACCATGGTTTTCCTAGAGATCAAACAGGACACTAATTACTAAACTTGGTCCAACCTTTTCCATGAACGGTTTTATGATATTCAAACAACTAGAGTGTCTATGTTCTATGCAGACCTTGTTCATTTGTCATCGCCTTGCCAACAACCACGTACCCAGAATATCTCGCATTTATTGCTCAGACGATGCCAAACGAAAGAACTTTGTATTTTTAATACGAGTTACTCGAAATGATATTTATTGTGTGCTATATTTTTCACGTGATAATTAATTGTTACAGAAGTTCACAAAAAAAATCTTTTCTTTATTCAAATTCTAACACTATAAATGATTTTCCGCTCCTCCCCGATTATTAAAATCTCTCCGTCCTTCGCAAATGAAGACCCCGGTTATTAAGACTCGTATAATGCATATAAGCGTACGCTATTAAAATCGATAAAATTTCAAACTGTTTTCTAAGTGAAGGAAAATACCAATGTGAACTACAAATTCTTGTTTGCCATAAACAAATACGAAAATTTAACTATCTAGGAAGTGTTCTAACAGAGGATGAAATATCTGTTACCGATATCTGATTTTAATAGCCAAAAAAAAAAAAAAAAAAAAAAAAAGAAGCCTTCCAAAAGCTAAGCAAAGTATTAAGAAATACAATAATTTCATTAGATACAAAGAAAGGAATTCTCAACTGCAATGTAATATCAGTACTTTACGCTAACAAACTTCTTCATTTTTGAAGATACCTGAGGCAATCGCGATATGGTTCTGCAGGAAGTTGATACTCACAAGGACATAATGGAGGCAAATAAGTACAGAGAAAAACGGCGTTTAAGCTCCCTTTGTCTCGAATTTATTGTCTTTGAACAACGGAAAAGTTTTACAATTTGTTAAGTAATCTTTTTCATCTTTTTCCATTGTATACATTGGGAATATCAGCGGACAGTTAAACTAAAAACAGTTTATATGTGGAAACTTTACATTACGTCCACTTTTTTTTCGTATATTGACTTGGTGAAGATAACCGATGCACCTTTACAAACAAAAATGATACAAAGGCTGTCCGTTCCTACCTTTGTCATTTTCTTTTTAATAATTCATTTAATCCCGCCCACCGTATATTGTATACTGTTGTAAATATAAAGAACTTTTCTGTGACAACTGTCTTTCTCTCTCATTTGTAAAAATAATATGTAAATAATTGAAAAACGAGCAATAAGTGGGCGAGTAAAAAGGCAAAATCTACCAAATAGTTATTTGCTTTGGTTTACGGCATATCAACATCAATGGGTTATTTAATGCCGATGAAAAATTTTATTGCTGATAATATATTCTTTATTCAAAATATTTTGCTGGTAATAATTATTTTCCCAAAATATAATACTGGTACTGATTTCATTGCTAACATTGCTGGTAAATTTTTACAAAAACGTATTGCTGGTACTAAAACCTATTTTTACACTTTCATATTGTTTTGACTTCAGTTTGGAGTTAACTATTTTCCCATAGCTGGGGCACTAATGTTCCACGATCCTCAAAACCTCTGATCAGAGGCCTTGCTGCCAGATGTAGTTTATCGTTATACCCAGGACAGCTAATTAGTTGTGGAGAGCCATTATCGCCTTAAGGAACACAGCACGTAGATATTCATATTGTATTGGGACAGCATTTTTTTTTCTATGTGAATGAACTATGTTCACTGAAAGCCCATCTAATGACCTTTCGTAATAAGAAGAAACAAAACGAATTTTTTTGGGGGGTTGGGGCTACACAATAATTAATTACGTCACATTTTCATAGGGCGTTTTTAACAATAGGCAGTTCCCTCTCGAAGAGTGTCTAACATCAGCGTCCCTCTTTTTTCAGATAATGTCTTGTCTCCCTTCGACTCATTTAATTACGGCAACGTCTGCTCATATCACGTGATTTTCTTCTTCAGTTTCCGTTTACATCCGAATTTGTTCATATTGTTCTAATGAACAAAACAAGCATCCGCAAATTTGATTCTCTAAACTCATTCTTTTAGCTCACTGCAATTGCTTTTCTCATTTCTCTGCTGCTAATTCCAGCAGACAATTCCCCTTAGAAATACAAAAAAAAAAAAAAATGTAATGTCTTAGTAAAAAGAAACTGTTACAATAACTTCTTTTGACATGATCGTGATCAATGGTTGTCGCGCTGGTACGCAATCAACACAGTTTTATTTGCGATCTCCTCTCTAATCATACAGGAACTTCAATTCTTACAGCTTTTTTTTTTCTTTTAATATAGTCATTATACAGGGTGTTCCAAAAGTCACGCAACAATTGGCAGACAACGTACCCTTGTGAAATAGCAACCAGGGAAAATTTGGACGACATCATCTTCCAGAATTTGACCAAGAAATCTCTTAATAATATATTGTCACATACAGAGACATGATTCCATTTGGTAAATAAATATAATAATTACAAGGTTATTAAAGGTAATGCGACTTTTGGAGCAGCCATTATAATTATCATCAGGTTTCCATTGCGAGATTACACAGCGCTTAAAACATTATCATGCTTAGACTAGGTAGATTCTTTTTTTAGAGCGTAGTAGTTTAATAAGCAAGTATCTAGTAATATACAATACGGGTCTATCATTTAAATTTATGATTTACTATAAAACGTTCAATTATTACCAACACTTCAGGAGCTCAAAAACCACACCAAATGCTTTATTATCAATCATTATGAACTCAAAGAAACTGCATCTACTATATTAACAATAGAAAAATTAAATTCACACATAGGTCACACATTCAACTCTCGTAGTTTGAATGTCGCAACTCTGTGTAATTCGAGTAAAATATCGTTTAGTTCATCACTAATATCAAAAATACTATTAACAATATAAGAAAGTAATGGGCAACACCAAATGCTATACAGCGCTCAAAGAAAGAGTCAAAATCCTAGAAGATAATACTATAAAGTACTGAGGAAAACTGCGTATTACACTATTTACGTTATTCGGACTATAGTCCTCATCTTTGTCGCCACATTTATTACAACGTTTCGGCCGTTGTACACTCCAGCCTTCTTCCGGTGTTTAGAATGTCGAACTGAACCCTTTATTTCGCTCACTGGAGTAGACTGTTCTAGTTTCACGTACCCTGTCTAATGGATGTCAGTTATCAGTTAGTTGCTGTTAATTCCCCTCTCCAAGTTCTCCACCGCCCTAACTAGCTCTCACACTTTTTGGGTCGTGTCACTGGATAAACGAACCCTTTATCCACTGTGCCATGTGTCATTGTAATAAATATGGCGGCAAAAGATGAGGACAATAGTCCGAATAATGCAAATAGTGTGCTTAATACATCATGTCAGAAATATAGACAGATACTGAAAATATTACTATAAAAAATAAACAACCCACACAAAATGGAAGAGCTTTCATCAAAGAAGACATCCTGAAGTCTGCACAAGATATTTAATATGCACTAAATAATAGTAAAAAGACAAAAATACACCCAACGAAAAGACAGAAAGAAAGACGCAACCAAAAAGAAAGACAGAAAGAAAGACGCAACCAAAAAAAAAGACAGAAAGAAAGACGCAACCAAAAAAAAAGACAAAAGAAAGACGCAACCAAAAAAGAAAGACAGAAAGAAAGACGCAAAACAAAAAGAAAGACAGAAAGAAAGACGCAACCAAAAAGAAAGACAGAAAGAAAGACGCAACCAAAAAGAAAGACAGAAAGAAAGACGCAACCAAAAAGAAAGACAGAAAGAAAGACGCAACCAAAAAGAAAGACAGAAAGAAAGACGCAACCAAAAAGAAAGACAGAAAGAAAGACGAACAAAAAATTTGGACAGAAAGAAATGACGCAACCAAAAAAGAAAGACAGAAAGAAAGACGCAACCAAAAAGAAAGACAGAAAGAAAGAAAACCAAAAAGAAACCAAAAAAAAGAAAGAAACAAAAAGAAAAAGAAAGACGCAAACATTAAAAAAAAAAAGAAAAAATGAAAGAATAAAGAAAAACGCAAACAAAAGAAAGACGCAACCAAAAAGAAAGACAGAAAAGAAAGACAACCAAAAAAAAGACAGAAAGAAAGACGCAAAAAAAAGAAAGACAGAAAGAAAGACGCAACCAAAAAAAAAGACAGAAAGAAAGACGCAACCAAAAAAAAAATTTTAGAAAGACAGAAAAAAAAAAGACAGAAAGAAAGACGCAACCAAAAAAAAAGACAGAAAGAAAGACGCAAAGAAAGACAGAAAGAAAACGCAACCAAAAAGAAAGACAGAAAGAAAGACGCAACCAAAAAAGAAAGAAAGAAAGAAAGAAAGAAGAAAGACAGACAAAAGAAAGAAAAAAAAAAAAAGAAAGACAGAAAGAAAACGAAAAAAAAAAGACAGAAAAAAAGAAAAAAAAAAGAAAGAAAAAGAAAGACGCAACCAAAAAAAAGACAAAAGAAAGAACGCAACCAAAAAGAAAGAAAAAGAAAGACGCAAAAAAAAAAAGAAAGAAAGAAAACGAAAGAAAGACAAAAGAAAGACTGCAACGAAGACAAAAAGAAAAAAAAAAAAAAAGACAGAAAAGAAAGACGCAACCAAAAAAGAAAGAAAAAAAAGAAAACCAAAAAAAAAAAAAAAGAAAGAAAGAAAGAAAGAAAGAAAGACGCACACAAATAACCCATAATATCTAATACATTCTTTTTACTGCAGTTCTACTCTTTAACCATACATATTACTTCTTTGAATCGTTCCAACTTCAGCTTTCTAAAAAAATATTTCTAAAATTTAATTAATCAACTGACAGAACATGTTTCTTGATCATGACCGTCACAGTCGGAAGTACTTCAATGAAAACAATTTAACAAAGAACTCCCGACAGTTTATCCCCAATTTAAATCTTGAGATACACCGTATGATTTGAAAATTGGTAAACTCTAATAAAAACTTATACTTTCTAAGTTTGACTTTTGTAAATATTTAATGATAAAGTTAATTTTTTTGTCGAAATAGAATACTTTTTATTTTACGTCAACAATGATGAAAGGAAAACGAAATTTTTAATAAGGATTTCAAGAAATATGTAAAACTCATAACAGCTGAAAGACGAACTCATGTCAGCCTGGCATATAAGGAAAGAAAAACAATTGAGTTCATCTGGTATTCGTGCAATAAACAAATTTAAGAAATATAAAAATTCAATTTCTCTTTCACGGACTTCTCAAACTAACTGCCTAAATGCATGTATTTGTGAATGTAAACTCACGACGAGTAATTATTGCACTAAAATAACCAATATCTAAATCCGTGGAAATTGATGGGTGGGAAAAAAACCTAGTCTAAAAATAAATTGATATTTTGAAAGAGATAAATACAATTCTATTACCGAAAATATGCATGTACTGGAATATAAAAGCAGCTCGTCACAGAATGAATACATAGACGCATATCTTATATGACAATGAACAAAAGACTTGATGCTATATATGTAGTTTTATTAAGGAATGTTTAGAATATGAATACACAGAACATGTGGAAAATAAGCTTGCGCAAATTAGAAAAGGTTTGATTTGGTTTAATTTGTTTTATGCTATCTATGTCAACCACAATAGTTTATTTAATGCCGACAACATTTTTAGGATAAGTTCGTATGAATAGAATATATATTCTTTGCAAGAAAGCAGTTTGTAGTTCAGGTTTCATTGATGTATTTTTGTAAAGAGGTTTTTGTCAAGAGTCAAAGCTATTGCTGGTAATATTTTTCCAAAAATGTATAGCTAATAATATTTTTCAACAATGTATTGCTAGTAATATTTTCCCCAAAATGTACTGTTAGTAATATGTCTCCAAAAAATGTATTGCTAGTAATATATACTTTTTAAATATATTGCTAGTATATTTACTGTAAAAAAATCTATTTTTATACTTTCATAGTGTTTCGACTCCAGTTTGAGAGAATTAACTATTTGCCCATAGTTGGGACCCTAACAGGTGCTACCAACCCAAGTATGAATGGACCTGGGAACAACAGCAATTAAGAGGTGAATCCTTGCTGCCAGATGTAGTTCATCGTTATACCCAGGACGGCTAATTAAAAGAACCTACCAAGAAGATGTTGATAAGAGAGAGCTGAAATTACCAAGAGACGTCAAGTCAAGAATGCTTGGAGAATTCAATACTCCCGTAACAGATCGAAACAACATTTTTGCTCAAATAGAAAGACGAATTAACAACCACAAAATAACACAAGAATCATGAAATAGAAAGTATTTTCAAAAAATAAGAAATGTTTAAAAAAAATATTTAAAGGCATGAGAAACACTCAAAGTAGACTGTTTATTTTAAATAGTTATTGTTGTAACCTAGGGGAGGTTACTAAATAGAGTCATCAAACCAATATTGGTAATGCACGATAATGCTTAGGACAAGAACAAAACATATAAGATTCGCCAGCGGCGTGTAAAAGTAGTAGTCAACTGCTAGAAGTGAGTCAAGTCAATTCCACAATGAATCTCCAACTGCAGGATATCTACCAATCTCCCCACGCGGTCAGATGTGGCACAAGGCCGAATTTAATGTGGGATATCCGAGCCCGTAGGATCGGTCGGAAATTCCCCGTAGACTCCGTATAACACGGGGCTGGTTAGCAGTTTCCCGATACAAGATTCTGCCCTTCAACATAGCCTGGTCTGGGGGATCCTCTCTGCCCGGAGGCAGATAGTTTGACCAGCACAGCTGGAGACGAATCTCTGACTGAAGACTAACATACAGTATTTACTACTGTATTTATGTGAATGGGGTTATACACATACATTGTACGTAGGTATGCTACAGCAGTTATGATGTGTCTAAGAGGATGAGGTTTAATGTCAAAATTAAGAGAATAATTGATGGAATCGTTTTCTACTGTTATCAACATTATTTACAGTCAGAAAATATATAAATATTTATTTTTGAGATAATAATGGTTTACTGCTATAAATCTTGCGAATTTATTTTTTTTAAAACTAAATTGGCAGGAGAAAAGGCGGATTCATAAGTTTTCCAAGAGTATTTGCGCTTAAGTGAATATAACGAATGCAACAGGAATTGGAACTCCACACTTCGATTAACAATTCCTTCAATTAAGTATTGACCAAACTCGGCGTTGCTTGAATATGGTGATTATCCAGGAACTAGTGTTTCAACATGATATGGCCGTAAGATTAAGAAGATAAAGAGGATAGATAGAGACGGACATGAAAAATTCAAAATTATCGTGCTTAGAGAAGTATCACCGAGGGAATATATTTAATAAATTAACATTTATAGAGGAAGACACTGACTGACAGGAACATTTATATTTGAAATACGAAAGAAATGAAAATGATTCCAATCTGTGGAAGTTGTTTTAAATGTCCGATTTGTTAGAACTAAAAGAATGAGGGACATTAAATATTCCACAGATGAAAAATAAGAAGGAAATGCAATGGTTTTATTGCTACCTTTGATAAAACCAAGTAAAAAAAAAACCTACTGATCATGATCAACGAATTTAGATATTCATTACCCTAGTGTATGTGCAATTTAGGGAATATTTTTATTTACTATATATATATAGATATCTCGGAATTTCTTGGGTGAGGATTTATTTACAGGCGAACTATTCTCATTTTTATTGTAGTTTTCACAATGTCTTATATAATTTATTTCTTTAAACGTTATTTTTTTTTTAATAGATACTCATATTTGAGGAGATGCTACGTTTTTGTATATTTATTTATTTTCACCTACCGACCTCGATATTCGAGAAATCTTTTAGGTAGGATTCGAACCTGGGTTCTCTAAGGAAAACCGTCATCAAATCTGACGTGCCTTAGACCAACTCCGTGTCGTAGAACCTCCTGATGAAACAAAGCCCAAATAGAGTTTTTGAACACATGTATTCTCGAAATACAGTACTGTTCGATGAAAGTGACTCACCTGATTTTTTTTTTTTACTAAATGTTCTCTTCTCCGATGAAACAAAAGTTGAGCTAAATTCAAAGGATAAGCGATCTAAAATCCGAAGAAGACGCTTTGAAAGCTCTTTGAATTTAGCAGAAAGTACTGTCAAGCATCCATTCAGTATAATGTTCTGGGGATGCTTTTCTTTTCATGCAATTGGTTTCTTAAAATCTATTGAAAAGACCCTCAGGAGCGAGCAGTACAAGAGAATTTTAGTCTTGTCTGCTCCCTTCTGCTGAAAGGGTGCAAATCGACCCCACCAAGCTCATTTTTATGCAGGATAATGCTCCCTGTCACAAATCAAAATTAATGAAGGAATACTTTGATGAGAAGCAGGTGAGTGTTATGACATGGCCGCCCCAATCTCCTGACCTCAACCCCATAGAAAACTTATGGAGCATTATAAAATACAGGCTCTCGAGAAAACAGTTGAGCAACAAAGAGGATTTGATTGTGAATTTCATATCCGAATGGAAATCAATGCTTGGAGATTTGCCAGAACCTAATCAAGTCAATGTCAAAAAGGGTTGAAAAGGTTATTCAAAATAAAGGAGGACCCATAGATTATTAAATATCTCGAACTATATTACCTATTATAAATAAATTATACCTCTATTATTCTTTATTTAAAGCTGTTCGGTTATGTTGCTATTGATTACTAGTTGCAGGAGATAAGTGAGTCACATTTTTTGCACAGAGTTTTTCCCTGAATCTCATTTTTATCCAAAATTATAATTATCAATAGAATATCTTAGGGTGGCCGGGAGGTGGTCTTTATATTCGTATGACACCAAAAACAATAGGCGAAAATTTTTTTAAGTTAAAAAAAAATTAGGTGAGTCTCTTATCGAACAGCACTGTATACATATCTGTTTTGTATACTAACGTAAAAAAAAAAAAAAAAACAACATTTTTTTAGGAAATGGATTAAATCCGACAGAGTTTTAATTTATTTGTTTAAACAATGGTTACGCATATTTGCGTACATGCTGTTCCCCAGGGTTGGGCACCTCTCAGTATAATTTTCTTCAGTTACGACTCATTCTTTTGACGAAACTGCCCCTGAGCGCATTCTGTTCAAAGAGAGAAACGCAACTGAAAGATAATAAACGTGTTACAAACTACTCGAGAGCAATTTACACTCACTGACCTATAGGAGATGACTTGTGATATCGTAAGAAAAAAAAATGACGTACTGTTAAAAATATTTTCTCCTTTCTTAATACATTATTTATCGTATGGCATCCATCTTTAATTATTTCTATACGAATTTCAATGATTGAGGAATCAAAGAACTTAATGAAATGGACTGTTAATACCTTTGGGAAAAGGTATGAATCCATCGCTTCTCTACCTAGGTATGTATAAAATAGCCGCACGGGCCAGGTTCTACAGTCTTGGTGGGAAACCAGTCTAGAAGAAGAAACAGCCTGGAGTGGGTTGGATTTTGTTAGGTTAGCATTGCCAAGGAAATACCATCGCTGAAACGGCAACAGTAAATGGGGTGCCGGACAACCGGTTAGAGGACGGGTGATCGTGATCTACCTTCGGATTTCTGTGGGACATTTACCATAGTCTATTATGGCACTACTCAAATGAATGAATTTTAGGAAAAAGCAGAAAAAAAAACAACACGGCTGATATTTGTATAAAACATGAAAAATAAATGAAGTGTTACTAGAAAAATGATCAATTACGACGAGACATATAGTTTATATTTTTTTCTTCACAAGATATACGTAAAACTTACAATCAGATATTATTCGTCACCTTTTCATCTATGTCGATTATTGTTAACATTCAAATGTCCACATCGAGGGAGAGATATCGATCCAATTCAAGCTATCCGAACATCGTTACGCTAACTGACCACCAGATGTGACCACCGACCATTGCTAGCAATATGGTAGTCGGTGCATTTGCTACTCGTCTCCCGACACCTACTCTACCCGGACCGAACGATTCTCTCTCACCAACAAATCAACACCGACGCTAATAATAACTGCGGTAGAACAGACTGGTCGCCTTGCAAAATGGACCGTCATATTCCGGTTGGCTACGGCCAGAGGAGACGTCGTGAGCACACGCTTACGGTTGGCTGACCATAGGAGTTGAGGCTTGGCGGGGGACGCTGACAAACAGGAAGACGCCATGAGCTGCCTTTACTGTTTGTGAACGCAGTCCTTTTGAGAAAATTATTGGCTTTCAGTAGACGAATATTTGATATGTGGAATGGTGGAAGGATAAAAGAATGATGAAAGATAATGGTCGAAGAGAGCGAAACCGACAAAAGAGTGTATGTGAAAATGAACACAGGGAAATAAAGGACTGCGTAAGATGAAAATATAAAAATGTATATAGGAAAGAGAAAGAAAGAAACAAAACGAAAGAGAGAGAAGGTGATTAAATAAAAAAAAATGTAGATAGCGACTTTGATTAAATGGGGGGAAAAAAGAAACGAAAATAAATACAACGGAGAGGCGGAGGAAAAGAGCGAAAGGGACGGAGAGGAGGCGGAGGAAAAGAGCGAAAGGGACAGAGAGGAGGAGGCGGAGGAAAAGAGCGAAAGGGACAGAGAGGAGGAGGCGGAGGAAAAGAGCGAAAGGGACAGAGAGGAGGAGGAGGAGGAAAAGAGCGAAAGGGGAGAGAGGAGGAGGAGGAGGAAAAAGAGCGAAAGGGACAGAGAGGAGGAGGAGGAGGAAAAGAGCGAAAGGGACAGAGAGGAGGAGGAGGAGGAAAAGAGCGAAAGGGACAGAGAGGAGGAGGAGGAGGAAAAGAGCGAAAGGGACGGAGAGGAGGAGGAGGAAAAAAAGAGGAGGACAGAGGGAGGAAGGAAAAGAGCGAAAGGGACAGAGAGGAGGAGGAGGAGGAAAAGAGCGAAAGGGACAGAGAGGAGGAGGAGGAGGAAAGAGCGAAAAGGGACAGAGAGGAGGAGGAGGAAAAGAAAAAAAAATTTTTGAGGAGGAGGAGGAAAGAGCAAAAGGGACGGAGAGGAGGAGGAGGAAAGAGCAAAAGGGACGGAGAGGAGGAGGAGGAAAGAGCAAAAGGGACGGAGAGGAGGAGGAAAGAGCAAAAGGGACGGAGAGGAGGAGGAAAGAGCAAAAGGGACGGAGAGGTGGTGGAAAGAGCGAAAGGGGCGGAGAGGAGGACATAAACAAAAGATTAGGAAGGACAAAATGGAAAGAAAATCACAATTTGGCGAGAGCGTATTATATGGACTTAGAAAGGAAAGTATGATTTTAAATGGAACAATTTTTTGCGGATAAAAGAAGAAAATAGAGAGCACTAGAATAAAATTTGCTTGTTATTTATGAATAAAGAACGAATGTCGGCCGCCTTTGATCATCTCAATTCCATCGCAGATCATTTCGTAATATGGCCGAATGTCCTCAGGGCCCGCACACTCGCGTAAAATCAAGTGACAAAATATAAATTAACAGCAGAACATTGTATGGTTGTACCGTTACTCTGCTTGTATTTTTTTGGTGCGGGGGTGAATTAGAAATGTATGACATAGCAGAAATATATATAGTATAACAGTTTAACCACTGAATGTGTGTATTACGCCTATCAGCCTGCACATGCAAGAAAAACTTCATGAGCAGACCGGCAGCCTTAATACACATAGTTTATAATAAAATTTTAAAACGGCGAGTCTATTTCCAGTAGAGGTATTCACTAAAAATAACATTTGAACGATGTATTAATAATTACTCTCTCATTAGATTAAGAATCAAATATAGATCTTTTATATATATATTATATATATATATATATATATATATTAGTGGTAAATATACACATACATATGCAAAATATGCATGCATGCATATATATATATTTTTTTTTTTTTTTTTGAATAAAAAAAATTCCAAGAGGATAGAATCCAGGTAGAACTCAATGTCCCGGACAAAGTAAGGATATAATAAAAAGGCTTAAACACTAATATTCCATGGTCATAATTTATTCCATTTGAATCGTCAATACGATCCAATTCATCAGACCTACAAATTCAAAAGGAAAACAGAAAAAAACAACTACGGAAATAAAAAATAGAATTTATTGAGAGTGTAAGTATGAGAGTGTGGGATGAATGTTAGAGCTAAAGAGAGGGGTAACAGACGAGAGAAGGTGGGAGATTAAAACTTAAGAGAGAGAGAAGTTTTAGAGAGGCAAGTCAAACACGGTTTAAGTGAAAGAAATATCAATGTTGTCGGATGTCTAATACATTAATGATGTAACCGGAAAGGATACATTTTGTGGTGACATACACACACCATAGACGATCTAATGTTAAAGATCAGAATAAGAGAGAGGGAGAGGAAAAGAAAAAGAAAAAGGGGGGGGAGAGATGGGGCGGGGGGAAACTAAAACTAAAGAGCATTTACTGAAAGGGCCGCTGGGTAATTAAGAACATTTGACAAAATTAATATCGACTACAGGTTACAAATCAAATATAAACATATAAAAAATAAATATAACGATTATCTAATCTAGCAAGAACCTATATTTTTATGTTCAAAAAACACACACATTATATATATATTATATATATATATATATATATATATATATATATATATATATATATAAGAAACAGAATATATTAGGAAAATTGCGAAAATGATTAAAATGTTAAAGAAAAACCAGTTACACAAATTTGTTTTACCACATTGTCATTAATTTTCATATATATATATATATAGCCATATCTAGGATTGGTGTTGATGGAATAAAATTCCAATAAACACAAACGCTATTCTTAAAAGAGTGCTCAATACAGGGTAGAGCAAATATTATTTATTCAAAAATGATTACATAAACATGTTATAAAACCACTACAAAAATAGCTACTTTGTTTCAACACTTCTGGTATCTTTTCACGTGATGGTGTTGAATGGAGAATAAATAAACCAAGAACTCCTCAATAGGGGAAACGCTGTTACATAAACTGCAATGACCAATCAAAATACAAGTATATGATAATTCAGAAACCTTGACAACAAACCTTGTTTATAAATATTAATGCCTTAGTGTTAATGTTAGGCCAAAATCGAAATCATTCTAATTAGTTAATTTTAAATTTTATTATAAAATTGTAAATGACCAATTTTATATCGTCATCGTCGTCGGCTCCCAGTCGTGTCCGAGTATCGGGTTCTTCACGGTTGATGTTTATGTTTGACATGACTTGCGAGGCCCAGTCGGTGGTGGAATAGTCGCGGACAGTGCTCACGGGGGAGGCTAGAGGGAGGACAGGGTCGTTCACAGCGCTCTCTTTTCCTTCGTCGCCTTGCCTCTTCATTCTCCCTCCTCCTCTCCTCGAAGTAAAAAAAAAGAAACGACAGAATGCCAATCGCTGAGGATATTGTTTTAGGTGGTCGTGGCTGCGCGACAGCCCACACACACACACACACACGGCCAGCATCGCTTCCACCACGGCTCAAGAGAAACGAGACAGGCGACCTCCATGATACTGGTTGCATCGAGCTGCCGGGTTCTTATTTTTTCAAGGCCCGCCTAATCGCCTGCCCGACAGGCGTTGCCTTCCTCCGCCATCGCTACTAAGCTCCGCCGTTGGGGGTCTTGTTGGTTTTATATCGGAGTTTTCCTTCACCTAGCCTTTACCTCAAGAAACAAACCCTACAAGGCAGCAGGTGGGGGGGGATTATACCGCCAGTCCACTCGGTCACTTGCATGCATTTAGAGAGAAAGAGAGGGGACCACAGGGTGATTGGAGTGCATGCGTCTCAGGTTAAGCTTCTGCCTCCTAACCAAATTTATATAAGAAATTAATGTATTTCATGTAAAACCAGGCATTATTCTTTATTACTCGAAACGTTATATTTAATCAACGCACAAGTTTGCGTAGACATTGATTTTTTTTTTCTTGGTTTAAAATTCACAGGCCAGAAAGCATAGCTTTACATCGTTTAAATAAGCAGGTGTGTCTAATCAAATACTTGTATCCGCTAAATATAACGTTTCAAGCAATAAGTAATTGATCTGTTGAGAAACAAAATCGTTTAATTCATTGGAAATTACTTTGCGTACATTCCGTATACGAAAGTAAAAGTTAGCAGACATTGGCTTCGAGAGGTCGGACAGAGTAATTGGATTTTGATTAAGCGAGAATGTCTTCCATGCCATAAAGAAAGCTTCATATTATCAGATATAAAGAATGTCTTCCATTCCATAAAGGTCTAACGATACGTTGGGCTTTCTGATGGTCACCTCTACAAGGGTTCGTTTCCTTTATTAAGACTCTCGAATGCACAGACCGGTAGATACAGTTTGTGCATTAAAAAAAATGTACGGATGTGTACTCAAAAACATACATCCATTAAATATAACGTTTGACGCATTGAAAAAAAAAATGTGTGCGCGCGAGTACGCGCTGTTATACCCAAACACAAACTATATATATATATATATATATATATATATATATATATACACACACACCGGGTGTAACAGCATTTTTCAACCCACGAAATGTTTAGTATTTAAAAAAACCCAAAAAAACACTAATTTAGGCATCTTGGCACCATTTGTCGTAAGAGTCACTGTAAAAAAAGCTTTGAGTTATTAAGCTAGAAAGAGAACAGGTAAAAACAGATGTGTCAGCCTTGCTGTCTTCCCAAATGAACAATGGTGAGAGGAAAAAGATCATTCTGGCCTTCAGAAATGTTAACATTCATCCTCTGGCTTCCATATTCAAATCCACTCAACAAGAGAACAATGAATAAGTTTAAAATAAAGGTGAGGGCGGTAGTGAGGAAAAAAAACTGGTTCGGGTGTTTACAACAGCAAAAGTGATCATTTCAACTTCGAGTTAACGAGCTCAATTCAAAAAGAGCGAAACGATTCATTTTCGTTTATGATAGATTTCATCACGAATCTTCTGTTATGCATGGAAAGTAATTTTGTATTTTTATTGCTGCCAGTAGAGTGCAATAGAGTTATAAAAACCTCGGCGAATTCCAGTAAGATATCTTTAATCACTTCTAACAACGGTTCAGAACTTAATCTAACAAATAGACAATTTTGCTTTTACACGATTTGGACATTTTCCTGTTACACCCGGCATATATATATATATATATATATATATATGTATGTATGTTTTTTTGTGTGTGTGTGTGTGAAACAG